ATATCATAAATTTGGTTAACAAAAGAACACACCCATATATATATATATATATATATATATATATATATATATAGTTTGTTTTAAATACAACCCGTCGCATTTGTACAACCAATGCAACCCAATAAATTAAGATATTTAAGGAAATGATGAGAGTTCACTTATTATGATTTGAATATTTATGGAATATGAATATAGTTCATTAATTATGATCAATACTTTATATTAGAAAACAATCAAAACTTTTATGTAATCACATATTAATCAAATAAAATGGACGGTTGAGATTGAGTTATATATATATATATATATATATTTGAAACAAACTCTATATATATATATATATATATATATAGAGAGAGAGAGAGAGAGAGAGAGTTTGTTTCAAATACAACTTGTTGCATTTGTACAACCAATGCAACCCAATAAATTGAGATATTTATGGAAATGATGAAAGTTCATTTATTATGATTTGAATATTTATGAAAGATAAATATGGTTCATTAATTATGATCAATAATTTATATTAGGAAACAATCATAACTTATATGAAATCACATATTAATAAAATGAAATGGACGGTTGAGATTGAGTTATATAGATTATACAAATGTCATAGGTTGTATAATAACCAACATATATATATATATATTGTTAGGTTTAAAAGAAATAGAAGAAAGATTCGACAACCCATAATTAATAATTATAAAATCTATGAATTTAGAAAAGTTTGGTGGGATGATATTCAATATATATATATGGTAAATGACTCAATCATTTGACAGAGTATGATTTGCGTATATAATCGAGACATACGCCTGGAATTTTTCGATATTACATAATTCATCCCTCAACTATGTACTAATGGACCTATTTAGTCCCTTCATTTTTGCTTTTTCATCCCTTTCTCTAAAAGAAAAATAAAAAATAAATCGCAAATGTCCGTTATGGAAGACAAAACCAAACTTTAAAAGTCTACTCTTTGGAGCCGTTAGTAGGATACTTATCAGATACTTGTTTACTGATAAGAGTCATCTCCCTCACTTACCTTATCAGATAATATTTCTAGTCATTTTTTTTTTGTACACGTCTTTTACCCCTCGATAAGTGCTAACCGTGTAACAACTGTTTACCTAAACGCTTACCCGGTAAGTGCTTACTAGTGAGAATCTACACTCTCGTTTACCTTACCGAGTAAGATTATAGTCGATCAAACCATCATATACAACAATTTATTTGGTAAACACTAACCGGGTAAGAGTCTTACCTTGTAAAACTCCTGGTCATTTACCAGGTAAAGATTCTGAATCCTTACCATGTACATCCGGTAATATAAGTGATTTGACAAGCACTTACCAGATAAGTTTTTTCTATCACTTATCAAGTAAGATTTTCGATCCTTGCTACGTCTTTTATCGGAAGTACAACTTATTAACGTTTTATTTTTGAATTTGTGTACCTAATTATAGATAAACATAATCAAATACGAGATAGACATTTCATTTTGGATATAAAAAATCTAAAATATAATTAAGATAATCATTAGTTATAACAAAATGCTTAATTATTATCTTTATAAAAAACATATTATTAAATGATAAATAAATTACTTCGTTATTAAATCTAAATAAAATAAAATAAAATATAGAATTAAATAAAGTATATAAAAAACCAGAACTTTAAATAGTAAATTTGAAATTATTATCGATATTTTTCCCCAAATCTTAATGATATATTTATATTTTATTCAAAAATAAAAACATTATCGTTTTTTTTTCTCAAAACCACTAAAAACTGCATTCTATCGACATAGATAAATAATAAAAGAAAACATTAAAATTGAAATATATTTCGGCATCTCGCTATATTATGCGAGCACCCTTCTAGTATTTATAAAAAACAGAAAGAGTGCTAATTTATTTCTTACCATTGTCTCTATTAATGTTGTACCTCGACGTGACATGAGCGTGAAAGGGGTTCAAAGACTAAGCGGAGCGAAAAGGGTTTTCTATGAGATGAGAAATGAAAATTAAAATCTCCTTGTGCCTCGGGACCCCATAGCAATAACGGTCAACGGAATTTAAAGAAAAAAGAATAGCCTACTCCTCTTCTCAAAAGTTCCGTTACTACCGCGGGATTTATTCAACTGATCATTTTTGTAGTGACGTATCCTGTATGTGTTCCTAAGAAACTGTTCATCAATAATTTTATATATATATAAAAATTAAACAACGTGTATTATTTTAAACTAGAATAGTACTCGCGCAATGCAGCGAGATAAATTTCTATTTTAATGTTTAGTTTTTATTCTTCTCTATCGATATAATACAATTTTATGTGGTTTTGAGAAAACGATAATTTTTTATTTTTTAATGAAATATAAATTTGAAGATAGCCTAAAAATTTGAAAAAGATAAATCGATATTAGTATCAAATTAACTATTTAATAATCCTATTTTTTTAGTGTAGCTTCTTTAATTCAATTTTTTTATTATATTTAGTAACAGAGTATTTTATTTTTGGTTTAACAATATAATATTTTATAAAAATAATAATTAAATATTAAGTTAGAAGTTAATAATTATCTTAATTATAATTTAAAATTTATATATTTAAAATGAATATTTATCATATACTTAATTATGTTTATCTGCAATTAGTTACACGAATTTTGAAACGAAGCTTTAATAAGTTGTATTTATACAAATTTACTTGTAATCTTGGATTTTAAGTAATATGCATAAAAAATAATTTTTAAGAGTTTTTGTCAAATATTTTATAATATAGTATAAATATACAAAATAATTACTTTTATTTATTAGTTTACATAATCAAATTTATCTACAAATTGTATGTAAAAATTATGGTTGCTAATTAATTTTAAATCCATAGATTATTATTGAAAAAACAAGTTTAATTGAATATTCAAATGCTTCAAAAATATTAAATTAAAATGGTATTTGGTCAAACATTAATATTAATTACGGATATCAGAATATTTTATATTTTCTTCGATAATAAAATGAAATGGACGGTTGAGATTGAATTATATTGGTTGCACAAATGTCAAGGGTTGTATAATAACCAACCCCTCTCTCTCTCTCTCTCTCTCTCTCTCTCTCTATATATATATATATATATATATATATTAAAGGTGAAGCAACCAAATCTTGAAGGCACCCACCACACCCTCAACTCTTGGTCTCCCATGGCCCATAGCAAGTAGAGTAGACTACCCATCCTCCCTCCCCTACACCCACTTAATATATATAGAGTAAATTACAAGTTTGATCCTTAATATATATAGAGTAAATTACAAGTTTGATCCTTGTGGTTTGTTAAAAATAACACTTTTTATCCTTACAATTTGAAAATTATAAGATGATCATCATTGTTTGTTAAATATATAGATTTAGTCCTTTTGTTTTCGATCGTTAAAAAATTTCGTTAAATGAGAGATTTTTTTGTTCTTTTATCAATTTCTTTTTTGTATTTTACACAATTAAAAACAATAAAGACCAAGATCATGAAATCAATTTTGATTTGTTAAAGAACAAAAAACCGACAAAAAGATGAAAATGTTCCTCGTTTAACAGAATTTTCTAACGACCAATGGAGGGGGGAATCAAATCCGGACAGTTTTGCAAACCATTATGACCATATTGTAATTTTAAAACTGTAAAAATAAAAAAAATATTATTTTTAACAAACCACAAGAACCAAATTTATAGTTTACTCTAAAATATGTATAATTAATAAGAGCATGTGTTGAACTTCTTATCTTCTAATTGATAGAAAGAAGTGGTTTGAATTTTTATTCCTTTTCTTATTAAGTTGGTATTATAGTCTAAAAAAAGAATTAACAAAAATCATTTTATTTTTATAAAACGATAAATGTTTGAATACGTAAGCATATTAAAAGTTAAAGATATTAAGGAATTATAAATGAATAGAAAAATATAAAAACCTGGTAAACACTTACCTGGGTAAGAGTCGTCACCCTCACTTACCGAGGAAGACTCTTCATCTTTATCATTGCTCTTATCCGGTAAGAAAAATTACCCGGTAAGCATTTAGTAAACAACTCTTAAGTTTTGTGTTATTAAAACAGAGACTTATATATCTTAGATGTTCTATTATGTACGAGTCATAAACCCCTTATTTTTTTAAAGGCTTCAAGCAAATAAGATGTCGGTAAAAAACCGAGTAGACATGGATTTACTTTTTGTCCAATAAGAACTTGGAAAGAGATTTTAAACTTTTATCACAAAAAATGGTCTTCTAAGCAGATTCTCTTAACCAAGAGTAAAAGCGCTTACTCGGTGTCACTTATCTTTACTAGGTGAACATGACAAAGACCGAAAATCTTACCTGGTAAGAGGCATAGTAAGAACCAATAATCTTACCTGGTAAATAAGGGAGAAGACTCTTATCGGATAAGTGAGGGAGAAAACTCTTAACTAGTAAGTGCTTACGGATTAAAACATGTTTGTCAACAATCTATTTTGATGGTCGAGAATATTACCTGAAAAGATAAGTGAGAATTATGAGTGTTGCTGTAAAATGTTTATCCAATAAGAATTTAATAAACGACCATTAAAACAAAAGCAGGTGAATCAAAGTTTTTTCTTAAAAAAAAAATAAAAAAAATCTAACACAATATCTTAGGTGTCTTCTGAGCTTTAGCGAGTACGCTATAATTGCTTTCAACAACAATTTCTAATTGTTTTAAATATTGCATCAAATATAAAACTATATTTAATAAATAATAATAAAACTTCAATTAAATATTATTTATTACAATTTAATATCAAAATAAGAGCTTATTAATAAATAAAATATTATACAACTCATTATTACACGAATCTAAGTCTTATTCATATAAAAAACATGATTTATTTATCAAAATTTGTTTTTTAATAAATAATAACGTAATTATTCAAAATAATTAATTTTTATGACCACCACAAATTTGGTCCCTATAGTTTGTCAAAAATAACGTTTTTATCCCTATATTTTCGAAAATATAAGATGGTTATCATGGTTTGTACAATATAAAGATTTAGTCCTTTTCTCTAATGGTCGTTAAAAATAGATCTTTTTGTTTTTTATCATTTACGTCGTCAAAAACCAAAAGAAGCGAACCATAAACCTAATTAGATTGGCCAAAAACCAAAAACAAATCTATGAAATGACAAAAAATGCCCTTCATTTAACATAAGTTTTTAATGGCCATTAAAAAGAAGAATTAAATCCAAATTTTTTTTTGATTAACCTGGATATCCAACCCGCTATGCGAGCCGACTAATCTCAGGACAAATATCTGCTTTGCAGATGGTTTAGAGTCACCGCATTTAAACCTCTGTGGCCACAAAGGGATTTTCATTCCTCATTGAATCTGGTACTTTTGATCTTTGGAATTAAGCTCAAACCAATCAGGCATCACCCTTACGGTTAAAACCCGAATATTTTTGCAAACCATAATGATGGTTTTGTAATTTTGCAATTATAAAGGTAAAAAATGTAATTTTCATAAATATCAAATTTCTGGTTTACTCTAAATTAAAATATATTGATGTTTAAAATGAAAAAAAAAGCAGAAAATAGAAGAAATATGGATGTGCCGGCCCACACCAATCCAACGGTCGGGAGTTAAGGTGGGGTAGCGGCCATCAATCACACACGATAATTGCACCCACCATTACCACGTAGAGAGAGTCTCGTTATACAGTACATCGCTGAGTTGTCAAATAGCGGTTGGGAAATATAGGAGGGTCCCACGTTTTATTGCACTGTTGCTGAGCTGGAAATTCAAAATTAAAAAATTAAATAAAAAAACGACAGACTGTTTCAAACCCCAAACCGCTCTTCTCGTTGATTTTAAAGCCCCCTCCCCCCCACCTCAAACCCCCACTCCACCACTCTCAAAATCATCAAACCCTCCTCCATTTTTGAGAATTTTCTTAGATCGAATTACTTCTTGTTATCCATGGCTGAAGAGACCTTAAAGGCTGCGGCAGCTTCATCGGAGGCTCCGGCAGCGGCTGCTGAAGTTGCCGTGGTTCCAGAGGCGGAGAAGGTTGAAGCCTGTGAGAAAGAAGCTGTGAAGGATGTCGCCGTTGAAGAAGAGAAGGAGAAGGTTACGGCGTCGATTTCATTCAAGGAGGAAAGTAACGTTGTGGGTGAACTTCCTGATCCACAGAAGAAGGCTTTGGATGAACTCAAATTGTTGGTTCAGGAAGCTCTTAATAAACATGAGTTTACTGCTCCACCTCCGCCACCGCCGGTTAAGGAGGAGGAGGAGGAGAAGAAACCCTCTTCCGCCGTTGAAGGTGGAGCTACTGTTCCAACGCCGGTGGTTGAATCTGAATGCAAAGAAGAGGAGAAGGTTACAGCGGTGGAGCCATCGGTGAAGGAAGTGACGGAGGTGATTGTGAAAGCCGAATCTTGCATCGATGAAGACGGAGCAAAAAAGATCGAAGCGATTCAAGAAACAATAGTAGCAGTCACCATGCCTGCTGAGCCACCAAGGACAGAAGAAACAGCACCACCACCGTGCGCGGCGGAGGAAACACCCATCTCACCAGAAGAAATCTCCATCTGGGGAATCCCATTACTCGCCGACGAACGTAGCGACGTTATCCTCCTGAAATTCCTCCGAGCACGAGACTTCAAGGTGAAAGACGCCTTCGCCATGCTCAAAAACGTGGTGGCATGGAGAAAGGAGTTCGGGATTGAATCACTGCTGGAAGAAGATCTGGGAACAGAGCAAGACAAAGTGGTTTACATGCATGGAGTCGACAAAGAAGGTCACCCAGTCTGCTACAACGCCTATGGTGAGTACCAAAACAAGGAATTATATCACGAAACCTTCTCCGACGAAGAAAAACGCACCAAGTTCCTCCGATGGAGGATTCAGTTTCTGGAGAAGAGCATCAGAAAGCTCGATTTTAGCCCAGATGGGATTTGCACAATCGTTCAAGTCAACGATCTCAAGAACTCTCCCGGACCTTTCAAGAGGGAGCTTCGTCAAGCCACCAATCAAGCCCTTCAATTGCTCCAAGACAATTACCCTGAATTCGTCGCCAAACAGGTATATAAATAAATAATTTCTCTTAATGAATTATTCCTTTTGTCCCAAAGGATTGTTCAAAGTTCTTTGGCCTATGCCCACCAGGTGTTTGATAGATGGTTTCTTTTTCTGATTTTGAGCTGGGGTTTGTTTTGTTTGAAGGTGTTCATTAACGTTCCATGGTGGTACCTGGCTTTCTATAAGATGATCAATCCTTTCTTCACCCAAAGAACCAAGAGCAAGTTTGTGTTTGCTGGTCCTTCAAAGACTGCTGAAACCCTCTTCAAGTCAGTACCCTTTTCCATTAATCTCTTCTTTCAATTGTTCATTTTTGGCCATCATATGTAATTTGAATCTAAGTTTTGATTTGATTTGATGAATCTCAGATACATAGCACCTGAGCTTGTTCCAGTTCAGTACGGTGGGCTTAGCAGGGAAGGCGAACAAGAATTCACCTCAGCTGACTCGGTCACTGAAGACATCATCAAGCCTGCAACCAAACACACCATCGAGTTCCCTGCTCCCGAGGTACTTAAAACCATGACTCAAAAGACAGTCTTTTTGTGTGATTTTGATCAAATTATGGATTCTTTCCATGTGGGAATTTTGCTACAATTCAGATCTTGAATTGCTTAGATCAAATTATGGTTTTTTTAATATGGGAATTTCGTTATGAAATTGATCTCAGAGCATTTTGAAGGGTTTCGAAGGAAATATGGTTTTTCTAATGTGAGAATAGATCTTGCAGACTTGATACAGTGAACACAGAACAGATTCGTTTGATTGATTTTAATTGACTATGGTTTTTTTTCCGTATGGGAAATCTGATACCATACTTTGGAACGAGTCTTTTGGATGATTTTGATGGAATTATGGTTTTTTTTTTTTTTCTTCATGTGGTAACTTTGTTAAAACATTATGCAGGCTTGAATGCTTGATACCATACCTCAAGACAGATTCTTTTAATGATTTTGATCAAACTTTGGCTTGTTTTCATGTGGGAATTTTGTGAGCAGAATCTTTTGGATGATATTTGATCAAATATGGTGTTCTTTTAATGTGGGAATGTTATGAAAGATAACTAAGAAGAGTCTTTTAGATGAAATTATGCTTTTCTTGATGTGGGAATTTTGTTAAAAATCTGCAGACTTGCACATTGGTATGGGAGGCCAGAGTGGTGGGCCATGAAATCACATATGGAGCCGAGTTCGTGCCTGCAACCGAAGAGGGTTACACCGTTATCGTGCAAAAGTCTAGGAAGATTGCAGCGACGACCGACGAGCCAGTGATATGTGGAAGCTTCAAATGCGGTGAACCAGGCAAGGTGGTTCTGACCTTTGACAACCAAACCTCCAAGAAGAAGAAGGTCCTGTACAGAAGCAAGACCAAATTGGGCTCTGACTGATTAAGAGCCATCAAATCCATCCATCCATCAAATACTGAAGCAGAAGGGGGCGTTGGGGGTTCATTTTTGGTGGGGCAAAAAAAGCACAGTTATTATTAAATTTTTTATTCATGGATTTATATATTTTATATTTTATATTTATATTTTGGGATTTGAGGAATCTTTGGACATGGGATTCTTTTTGGGGATTTGTCTGTTTGGGTTTGCATTGCATTACTTTACTTGCAAATACTATGTGCATTGTTGGACTTTTGGACCAAGAAAAGTGAAGTAAATTTGGAATTTTTTATACAATATATAGAAGTGGATGATGCTTTTGTCTGTGTCTACTAAATATCCCTTTTTTCTTTATTAATTTTTTTATTTGTCTAAAGTTGTTTCCTGGTGATTTTATTTGAAGCATGAGCTGTGATATCCTTTCCAATCTTTATATCTTTTCCAGCTCATCTCATCTCATCTCATCATTTATCAGTTGGGTTGAACCAGATATTTTAGATCTCTTTTGTTGCTATAACAGTTATAGTAATTGATGTTTGATATTTGTTGAATGATTTAAGAAACTCTCATGATATAGTGTAAAATGAAATATAATTATTTACGATGAAATTATGGCTATGAATGGTTAAAGTAGGCTCATTATATAAAATCATTCAGTGGGTTTTAGAATCATTAAGAGAGTTTTTTTTTTTGCCAAACAAGATTCACCTCTTAACTATTCAGATATTGTCTCTTTATGAAACTACTAAGAGGTAAAAAAAACAACCCTTAAAGTGTGCTGAAATAGAGGGGANGAAAGTTGGTTCCCCAAAATAAGAATCAGGTGAAAGTTGGTTTCCAAAAATGACGATTTTGAAAGTTGGTTCCCCAAAATAAGAATCAGGTGAAAATTGGTTCCATTTTGGTACAATTTTCCCTTTTTCAAAATACAATACCTGATAAGAATTTAAAAGCACGTCATTATAATAAGAAAGAATAAAAGTACAATCAGTGGCGGATCCAGGATTTTGGTCTAGTGGGGGCACCTTTAAAGTAGCTTAAACACTCACAAAGTCGTCTGATGTGTTTTTAGTCTAATTCCACCATTCCAAGAGATTTTTGAAGTTTTTTTGGATTATTTCGAGGGATTTTTTAAGGGTTTTTTTTTTTATCGATTTCGAAGAACTTTTCAGTTTTTTGATTGATTTCAAGAAACTTTCTTTAGTTGGTGGGGGCCTTAACAAGAAATCACTGAGGAGAACCATGGTAGAAAGTAAAAAGACAACTTTTAACCTTAGGAAAATTCTTTTTTTTTTTAATGGGGGACCCTTCCCCCTACCTTTTACATGGTAAGTCCGCCCCTGAGTACAATACTATAAAAAGATTTTATAAGTAGGTTGCTAACCCTTCTATTAAACATAGTCACGATAAATACTTTTAAACGCAATTTCTCTCTTTTGGGACTAACCAGTCAGGACCAAGACTCGATATCCTTGGTCCTGATCTGATCCGATCCAATCCCTACATCTCTAATTTCAAACATAGAGCGGAAAAAAAAACTCTATAAGATGATTGTGGTTACGTCTTCATATCAAGTCAAGACGATCACACTCGGACCATAACCACAACCAAGCTCAAACTCACAAGTAACCACTCAACAACCCTGAATTGAGTTACAATCCATATACTACAAAAATCTATCCCTCTTTATAAGCTTAAAGTTGTGGGCTACCAATAACTTCCACCATAGTTTTAAACAGTTTAAAGGTTATTGGCTCAATTTGCTACTTTTGGACATTACATATACAATGGTGACAGGCTTTTGAAATGAGCTGTCAAATGTGGTATCTCCATATATTTACATTCACTCTTCTTCTACCCACCCAAAAAAAAACAAAAACAAACCAAACAGGAGTCGCATAAGTTATCAAGAAACTGCAACTTTTGTATCTTCAAAGTTCTTGTTTTTTTTTTGTTTCAAAAGCTCCATCTTTCATTCCGTGACACGGGTCATGTACGGCACCGATCTTCACACGTCTTGAAAAGCTATACATCATATACAGGTAAGCGCTCCTCGATATTAACACGGCAAATAGGGCATTTCTTACACTTCTCACAGCAGGTACTGCACAAAGAGCGGTCATCTATCAAGATGTTGAAATTGGAATTTAGATACGATTGATGATCGTTTAAAGGAACAATAACGAGTACCTGCAAAGAATCCGATGCCTACACGGGAGGAGTACTGTGCTTATCTCTCCTTCGAAGCAAACACGACATAGAACTTTTTCCTGCCATAATTTGTTCGAGAGCGAGTTTAGTATGAATCAAACATCCAAAAAGTAGGAATACTTCATAATTTGTTCTAGCATTTTTAATTGACTAAATGACAACTTGACCCTTGATAACAGAGAGCGTAATGAATTTCTCCATCTCATAGTTAGGGGGAGAATTCGAAGTAGGCACTTACTTTTGTAAGTGGACCCTTTTGTAGGACAAAACTAAAACAGAAACTCGGACACTTATTTTGCGACAAAGGGAGTATTAGGATGCAATTTTGTCAAAATATCCGTCGGATGTAATCATATGACACTATTGTTAAGGCAATAAACATCGGGAAATAATCATGATTTAGAAATTTTACGTTTTGAAGTCTTTCGTACTCCTGTTGGCTAAACTTTGTGATTTCCGTCTGCTCACCTAGAGCTGCTTGAAGCCTCCAAACCTGAAAAAGAAGAACGACCATCTTAAGAACTAAGAAGCAAAAATAATTCACGAGGATTTATTTACGGATGTGTAAAAACGATGGTTACCTCCTCAGCAAGATCCTTCTTTGGCATTTTCTTTACAATTTCAGGTGGATAACCACAAAAAGTGTTATAACTGCACAAATACGCAAATGTCAAGAAGCAAAGGCATACTGTAAAACCATTTTGCAATAAATTAGCATCAACTTCTGATAAAACATTGTTTAGGATGTCATATTACAATTAGTAAACAAGTAGCCATACGGTAAAGTGCACGGAATACCAGCCAAAGTGGAACACTAAATTACTAGCATACACACACGTATATGTTAATCACTACATAACTTTACTGGGGTCTTTGTTAGCAACCTAACGAGCTTAATGGGATTCACATCTTATTCGGTCTGCTATACATTTTTGTTTGGCAGTGGCTTAATGATATAGAAAGTAGCTTATTCAGTAAGCTTTTAAGGGGGGGGGGGGGTGTTATGCAGAAAGCCAAGTTTTTCCAAACCTGCGCCTCCCAACTATAAAACATGCTCCTTCCATCCATGAAAAAAAATCCTTCCAAATAAAAACCCTACCAATCTATATAGACAGATTAAGGGCCGTTTGCTAAACACTTACTCGGGTACGCGCTTACCAAGTCCCATTACCTTACTGGACGAATATGGCGAGGACCAAGAATCTTACCCGGTAAGAGCGAATGCAAGGACCGAGAGTCTTACCCGGTAAGTGAAGGCGATGACTCTCCCCGCAGTTAGCGCTTGCCGGGTAAATTGTTGCATACGATGTTGTTTCGGTAGACTAGAATCTTACCCGGTAAGTAAGTGATAGTGTTGAATTTTACCCGCAAGTGTTTGGTAAACGGCCCATAATCCACATGAATAACTTTATTCATACAGGACTTGATGAAAAACCAACCAAATAGCCCCTACGTTTGATAAAAAGGTCAGAAGCACCTAACTTCTGACCAGCCATCTGAAGTATGTACTTGCTTTGTTTAAATACTCCCTCCGTCCCAATTTAAGTTTCCATGTTTCTATTTAAGTTTGTCCCAAAATAAGCGTCCACTTTCATACTTTCCAATTCTACCCTTGATTCTAAAATGGAGAATTTTATTACTTCCTCTATTATTAAGGGTAAAATTGCCATTTTGTTAACCAAAAAGTACAATAATCACACATTTCAGAAACTCCGTGCCTTTCTAGTTATGGACATTTAATTTGAGACAAACGGAGTAACATAAGAGTCAGTGCTTACCCTGAGGCCCCATCGTGATAGAGCCGTGCCTGTTCTTCTCGACTTCCCTCGTCTATAGACCACCAACCAAGCAGCCTGCATGTGTCATTAGAGTACAAACGCATAGTGAGTAACTTTACTCAGGTATCTGCAGCCCGTTGGACTCAGCATTTAACCTCGATGGCCAACTCAACCGGCAAATAGAGGCTAGGCTTTGGGGATCCTCCCCATAGGTCACCATATCGAGTCTCCTCATGGCGACCAGGGATTTTCATGGCTGTTATCTTCAAGGCCTCATGGGATTAGTCGAGGAGCGGAGTCCGCACGGACGCCCATGGTTAAAAAAGAAGGTATACCTGGAGCCACGGTGCAAGAACCCAAAGCAGTCACGAGCTCGAGCAGAAATCATGAAGTATGTTCCAGTGCCGCTCCCAGTACGTAGCAAAATGATAATTTTCTCCACCAATCTTGATGCAGAAAGTAGCAGTCCCACTCCTTGCAATAAAAATAAAGGAGAGAAAATGACGGGAATGGAAAGAGATCTAGCAGCAACAGGTTTTCCCTGAAATTCAAAACGAGTATCATTCACATGTGAATATCAACAAACTATATAATATCACGTTCAAACAACTTGAAGACCAAACAATTTATACATACCTCCAAGTGCATGCAAAGGAGAATTTGGAAAACGATAATGGGTATTTTCATTATGTGTCCACCGATGTCTTGCAGATTACACATCCCATCCTCGGAGGTATCCTCCGAGGAAACCACTAAGCCACTATTCCAATCAAGATATCTAATAGCAGTGGACGATGAACTGGCTTCAGATGTTCGCAAATTTCTGTGAATTACTGGATTAGACCACTTTGTACAAACAAGAAAGGAAAAGCATTCCGCGATGCTGAAAACCACAAAATTGCAAAGAGTTAGAATAGCTGGTAGCATGTCGAAAAGAAAAGATGCAAAAATCTAGGGGCATTAAGGGAAAGATACCCAAAATTTATGAGCAAGTCCCACCAGCCTAAAGCATCTACAAAACCTGCTAAATGAATGTAAGTAATTAAAAACCGTCATGGTGGGATGATTGAAACAACTAGCAAACAATCAACCATGTAAGCATATAAGAAAGCATCACATGCAAACTTCATAAAGCCTGAGGAAAAGGTAACAACAAAATATGCATGAATTGGGTAAGTGCTAACTGAGTAAGAGGTTCGGTTGGGGTAACCGCTGGCTAAAATTGTTGTTTACCAAGTGTTTCGGGTAAGCACTGACCGAAACACTAAACGAGTCAGAAAGCGAGCATATTTGTGGGTCAGAGTCTGTTGGAAATTAGCATCCATTCTTACTGAGTAAGAACCTCTTACCTATTAAGAGGTGGCCAACAGGTAGTAAACAATCTCTAACCCTAGACCAATAAATTTTCTTTACATGTTGATTTATTATATAATTAAGCATTCATAACATCAATGACTTCTTTCGCCATATAGGAAACAAATTGCCTAGCAAGAATGTTGATAAAGGGAAAAACTCATGAAAAGATTCCCAAATATATATTTAAAATTAGCATTAGAGGATAGTCATTTTGGCGAAAATATTACCGGATAGCTTCAGAAGGGTGAACACAGTAGCGGCAATGAAGAAAACCATGGAGATAGCAACCCAGAAATGCTGAAAGGAAACAGAACTACCAGTTTATAGTAGTTGGAAGAAATTTCATGTGACCATAAAGTTTCATCATCATAACAAAACACGGTTGATATTGCTTCTTTGCACCCTTGATATAGAGTTATTATGTAATAACAATAGCCAACATCCTGCACTTGGGATTACCTGAAACAGGTTGGCTTCAGGGGAAAACCACATGAAAAGGGGAAAACTGAGGAACACCCTAATAAACCATTCATTTGTCCGGTATGCACATGTGCAGAAAAGGCACACGTGCATAGAAACCAAGATACATTTTCGATTACTTTTATGCACATGTGCATACCAGATAAATTAATAGTTATCAGGGTGTTGCTCAGTTTTCCATTTTTTGTGGTTTTCCCTGCATTGGAGTCTGCCAGAAACTTCTAGAATTACAAGTTAACAAAAATAAAGCCATAAAGTTAGAACTAACTACTTGTTCATTTATGAAATAGAACAAGAGATGGTGAGAATCAGCATTATTTGGCTCGTGAGTTTCAGCTTTTGTAGAAGATCTTTTAGTATTTTGTTGTTAATGTTTAGAAAGATGGGAGTTGGAAACTTCTAGAACTTTTAAACTCTTATGACAAATCGAGCTCTTCCACTAAATTATGGAACAGAAACAAAGGCACCCAATTTATCAACTGAACTTACAGGAAGTGTCTCCCATATTGCATCATCGCTCACACTTTCATCATCTCCTGGTAGTAAGGCCTTGCACATCCTATATATGATAGATTATCAGTCCTATACGTAGCAAATTAGCACAAATGGACTCTAACGGGCATAACAAAATTTCAAAAACCACATGCGCTACTGCATGGGGAACATAGAATACTTGACTCATGCTAAATATTTACATCAGGTGAAGCAAACAAGATAATATGTATTATGTGTATGTGTGTGTGTATATATATATCGGGGGAGGTTCAAATAAGAAGGCTAAATATCGTGAGAAGGTAAGAAAGGAAGGTTCTTATGTGAATCATTGAAAAAAATCCATTTGAAGATGCATATGTGAACCTAAATGAATAATTTGAAACGTCGGTTCACATATGTATCTTCAAGTAGATTTTTTCGGATTTTATCATTGAATTCACACATGAACCTTCCCTTCTTACCTTCTCACGAAATTTCGCCTTCTTGTTTGAACTGACTCCTATAATATATACATATATATACAATGTTTACAAGAACAAAGCAGGTCCAGATATCCTCATAATCACTGCCATTACATTCCAGATCATCAATCATAAGAAGACTACTGGATTACGAATGAGTTTGCTACTCTCAACCAAAGAAAAAGCAATGCAATGGCACAGTGATCAAGGAAAAATGTCAACCTACAAGACAACAATATGAGACAACTAATTTTGCCTCGACCAAAAATCATCAAGTTCTGAATTATTATTGTGTCCCAAAGACAGTCGAAACTGGATGGTGCTTATTACTTCAGTAAGTTTATTACTAATATCATTCAAAAGAACATATAGATCACGTTGCAAACAAACTTGTGTTGACAAACAAAATCAGATTATCGGGTATACAGAGAATTGAACAAACAAAATTAAAAAAACAATCACCTGAAATTGTCAACAAGAATGGCTACTTCAAATGCCAACAGAGGAAGGAAGACAGTCTGCAACCTTACTGCCGCAGGCCTATCAGCTGTATAAAATAAATTAACAACAAATCAAAACTTTGACTGAACACATACATGAATGGAACTTTTTCTAAGATTAGCTGTCAGCATACAAAAGGGTAGAGCTAAAGCGACTACACACTTATTTAAAAAGTGATTAGTTTAAAGGGGGATTTAGACTTTAGAACACCAATAAACAGAAAAGGAATATAACAAAATTGGGTAAAGCTGAAACAGTATTGGGACAAACACTTAATTTGGGGTCATACCATGGTAACTCTCCAGAAAGACGCAAAGAAGCAGTTCAAATGCAATAAGCAAAGGTGTGGCAACAACTGCATGACATGGTGCCCACTGCACAGAACAGAAAGAAAACGTATCCCATGAAGCACACATAAGACAGGGAAATTTCACTATTTTCACAAGGTGCAGGTTGGTCTATAAATTATCAGTCTTATTCCTAAAAAGAAGTAAAATAAAGATGACATACATCACGGCCATGGGGAACTGATGGTGCAGGTAATGAGAATCTTCCTCGGGCAACAATCGCGTGAAATAGAAAAAGTGGGAAGAAAATGACCCTGCATAATAGAGTAAGAACAGCTGCAAATGAGAAAATTGCATCTAGAATAAATTATATATCACAAATGGTAGCTCTGTTTGGTGATCTCAACTCTGTTAAAACTAAATATACTCTTAATTATACTTAATATATTCATCTAAAGCAGAAGGCAAATCGTCCAAGTATCAGCAAAGAAATCAATGACTAAAAGAAAGGTTTCTGTACTGCAAGTTTATCTTCAAACAAACTTAGGGCCTGTTTGTTAGAAGCTTAATAAGCTTACTGGGATTCGCAGCTTATTTGGTCGCCTATAGATGACTGTTTGATAGTGGCTTAAAAATATAGAAAGTGGCTTATTAATTAAGCTTCTGGGGGAGCTTTATGTAGAAAGCCAAGTTTTTTCCATACCTGCCCCTCCCAATTAAAGAACACGCTTCTTCCATCTATGGAAAAATCCTCCCAAACAAAAACCTTCCCCATCCTTACAGACAGATTAATCCACACAGACAGCTTTATCCATACATGACTTGATGGAAAAGCAATTAGACATCCCCTTATTGTTGTGAAAAGGGTTTCTCAAATATACACTCGCAAATCATTGCTTCTAACAACTTCATATGGAAATATAAGATCATATTCTGTAAATTATACAAATATTTCCATAACCCATTCTACAAAACAGTAGCTGTAGCACCTTGTTCACCTAATTCACCAAGAATAAATTATGAATATTTATAAAATGCACATCTACAATCAGAGTTACTTCAACTATCACAAAAACTAGCACATGCAACAACCTAATTGAAGTTGTCCAAACCCCATGAAGAAATGCTTGAATTCTGCAATTCCTTAATGAAATATAACAAAAATTAAAAAAGAAAACTTTGGGTATGAACCAAAATCTAGTTTTCAATCCAAACTTCTTTAGGAACTTTGAGAAAACATGTTTCCTCCATCCCACAAAGCATTTTCAAAAAGACGGAAGAACCAAATTCAAAAGCAATCACACATATAGGGAAACCCCAATAACATTCCCATAACAAAACAAACAAAATTAAATCCATGCATAATAACATAAGATAAATAAAAATAAAAAACTGACCACCAAGAGTAGGGAACAAGATGATCGAGTTTGAGAACAAGCAAGGATGTGAAGCAGAAGAGTGCAGTATGAGCAGAGAAAGCCTGTAAAGAGTTTGCTACTCTGCGCCAGCTCATATCTTTCCTTACAATCATACGAAACCCTAAATTTCAGAGCTTATTCAAACGACGACTGAAGAACACCCTAAAAAATCTGGCGATTTGAAGACTGATTCTTGATTAGGGTTCACCTGAAGACCAGATAGAAGCTTGTTTATCAAGTGGGTGCCATTGATACAGATTCTTCTGCAATGCTATTGGTTTGAATGATCGAAATGAGAAATTGAAATTGAAATTGAAACTGAAATCATAATCAAAACAAGAAATCTTGACTAAAGACAAGAAATTGGCATTGTTTATCCAAAATTATGTTATAATAATGAAATGATTTTATATTGGTTTTGCTACTACGACCTGAGAGCTGCCTTCACGCCAACGCTACGTAACGCCCCTTGTTTCCATTTGACTCATAAACTGGAATCAATGATGCTGTAGCATTCTTTTACTTTTATCCATTTATTTCTTTTTTATTTTTCATTTAAAAAAACAATACCTAATTTCATAATTATTATATATATAATATTAAATACTAATATTAACGTATTTAATATTGGAAAGATTCTTTTCAGTCAATTAATAATTGACTAGTTGTTTATCCGCGTAATGCGGCGGGAGCCATGAATTTTAACGATTTTGAAGTTCCACTGGTTTTATAAGATAAGATTTAACGATGATATAAGTTTCACTTGGTCTTTCCATATTAATACAATTTGAATAAATAAGAGTTATGGTTCCAATTACAGACTATCGATGAAAAAAAATTCATGACAGTTTAAAATCCAATATATTTAAAATCCAACATATTTAAACGACTCCACAAATGTGTTCGATTTACACCAAGAGCAAAGAACCAAGAAACTTGAGTTTTAAGATA